GAGAAACTCAGTGGACTGACCAACCTGATGATGGGTGTGGTTACCGTCAAGGACCTCATCAACGCTAGAAGCACAGTCCAAGTGCCCGGTTGGTTAATTACTTGGACACCGGATCGGTATTCGGTTTCCGGTCAGAGTCTGTTTTAGATTAGTTTTTCGTATTGGAAGCGTTGTGAGCTCAAGCGCGCAGGTAATAAGACGCCGTCTCGCTTATTTCTGCTGCGAATTAGTCGTGAGTGGTCAAGTAATATCTGTAAGTGCTTAAATTTACGCCGGGGCTTGTGTGCCCTGTGCTATATCTGCTAGCTGTTAACCGCGTCGTCAGGCATTAGTATCAGTGTAGTTTTACTGGTGATAGGACCTCTTGTGAGTCCGCACGGGTAGGTACCACCACCCCGCCTATTTCTGCCGTGAAACAGTAATGTAAGTTTCGGTTTGAAGGATGGGGCAGCCGTTGTAACTATACTGAGACCTTAGAACTTATATCTCAAGGTTGGTGGCGTATTTACGTTGTAGATGTCTATGGGTTTTAGTAATCACTTAACACCAAGTGGGCTGTGAGCATCTAAGCAATAAAAAAAAAGTTTTGTCGCGGGAATAAGCGGTTTTTTTCGGGGTAAAAGGTGGCAGCATATTGTGTCACTCCCTAATTTAATAATACACTAAAAACAATCATGTCAATCAGCTGTTTCGTTATTACGCGACAGAAGGACAAACAAACTCAATTTTACAATTAATAATTTTAGTATGGATTGAATTACTAAAGAATACAAAAAAAAAAATATAATTATAATAATAAAGAAATTCAGGTAGAGTGTCTGGTTGTTGGCATATATGATTGACTCTGTCTTTTAACAGTATTCTCCGTGTTTTATATAATTTACGTTATCATTGCTTGGGAACGAATTTATTGCTTTTTTTCTTTCTTATAAAATTGTTACGATTAATTATTTTATTCACGACTTAACTGAACGTTTTGACATTTTATCCTTCAATAACCGGTTACGGCTTGTTCTTGTTTCAATGCAATTTGAATCTTAAGGTCAAAGACGTTAGGTTAGATATTGACTGCGAACCGTTTCTCGACTGGTCCAAGTTGAGTACTAAAGCGATAAAGTTTATATTTTTATTTGACTTTTTTATTTAGTTTTATTTCGAAGTTTGTCACTGTCACCTCAAAATGTAGATTCATATCATGTTTTTGACAATTTGGAAAAAAAATATAATCCCATAATTATTTATTGACTAGCTGACCCGGCAGATTTCGTAGTGCCTCAATCGATAAATAAAAGACCTAAACTTTTGTATAAAATAGACTTAAAACAAACAAAAGGAATACGTCCGAAGGGGGACACATCAAAGGAAAAACAATTTTTTTTTTTTTTTTTCATATTTATTTACCTTTTAAACTTTCTCTGCACAAATAATTCAAGACCAAAATTAGCCAAATCGATTCAGCCTTTCTCGAGTTTTAGCGAGACTAACGAACAGCCATTCATTTTTATATATATAGATAGAAGATAGATAACATAAACCCCGGTCATTGAGTTACTTAACTGTTTTATTTAGCAACTGTTCTGCCTTAGCCTGTAAACAGATTATAATATCGAGGGATGCAAGGCTATTTGGTTTAAGCGACATTTTTGCAACTTTACCGAAGATCAAGTGGGCAGTATGCTCGACTGCCTACAAGGGCAATAAAAAAAGAGCCATTTAAACATTTAAAATTATGAAAAATATAATGACAAAAAAAACTTCTTGAATTGAATGGGGTAAACTTAAGTGAAGTTCAATTAAAAATGGAACTTTTGATAATACAATAAAATAAAACGGACCTTTAATTACAAAGATAAATTACGCATACTAAGCGGAATGCCGGTTATATTCGAAACTAGCAGAGTCTCGCGACGTTGGACGTGTGGTCGTCGTGGCCTAATGGATAAGACGTCCGGTGCATTCGTGTTGAAGCGATGCACCGGTGTTCGAATCCCGCAGGCGGGTACCAATTTTTCTAATGAAATACGTACTCAACAAATGTTCACGATTGACTTCCACGGTGAAGGAATAACATCGTGTAATAAAAATGAAACCCGCAAAATTATAATTTGCGTAATTACTGGTGTTAGGACTTCTTGTGAGTCCCCACGGGTAGGCACCACCGCCCCACCTATTTCTGCCGTGAAGCAGTAATGCGTTTCGGTTTGAAGGGTGGGGCAGCCGTTGTGACTATACTGAGACCTTAGAACTATATCTCAAGGTGTGTGGCGCATTTACGTTGTAGATGTCTATGGGCTCCAGTAACCACTTAACATCAGGTGGGCTGTGAGCTCGTCCACACAGCTAAGAAATAAAAAAAAAAAAAAAAAAACGTTACTCGCGGTTATTGTCGTATCGCGGGTGACGCCTCGAGACGAAGCTAGTCTAAAAAAGTAGCCTAAGTTACTCCTTATATCATCAGCATACGGCCCATCTGATGGTGAGTGGTTATCGTCGCCCATGGTCTTCAGCAATGCCAGGGGCAGTGCCAAGCCGCTGCCTATCGTTAAGTACTCTCCACAAGCCTCGTTTGAAGAAGGACGTGTCATCGCTGTAGGTAAACACCGTGGAGGGGAGCTCATTCCAAAGCCGGATGGTACGTGGCAAAAAAGATCTTTAGAAACGCGTTTGCTTCCTTGAAGTGGTGAGGTCCACGTCATTTCGGATCCTCCCGATCCACTAACGGTGCTTTTAGGTACCTCAAGCACCGGTCACCGTTCTCTTCGAACCCGTCGCTTGCGACGAAGGGCTCAACGAGTAAATTAACCCTCAGACACAGCCCACTGAGTTTCTCGCCGGATCTTCTCAGTGGGTCGCGTTTCCGATCCGGTGGTAGATTCTGCGAAGCACGGCTCTTGCTAGGGTTCGTGTTAGCAACGTCGTCAGGTTTGAGTCCCGTGAGCTCACCTACTAGTTAAGGTTCCGCTGATATAGCCTCTCAAGGCTATCATCAGCTTAGGTAGAAAAAAAAAAAGGTGAGGTCACTCGAATGAATGAATCTTCGTCTTTCAAACATTTACATCGCTTGTGGGTTATTTCTCGTGACTTGAACCGCCGCCAATACAGTTACTGTTAATGCGATAGGCGAATACTGGTTCGTTATCGAAATTCGATTTTGTTTCTACTCGCAAAATGTCGCAGCATGAATATTATTCGCTCGCGTTACCATACGGCTAATCGGGCCTCGATAAACGGAGTAATTTAATAGTAATTATTAATAATAGTAAATGGTAAGTATAGTAATTTTTAGTTTAGTTATCATGTTTTGTTTTTTTAATTTGTCGGCTTCAGTTAAAAAATATTTATACACTTTGTAGACAATTTCGCGTGACTGACCATTTATAACGGCTTCCCTCTTTTTCCTAAAGATGAAATAGTAATTTAATAAAATAGTATAATGTATGGTATTTGTGTATCTCTTTCTTTCTCTCTTCCTCCCCCCCTCTCATCTCTCCCTCCCTCCCCTCTCTTCCTCTCCTCTCTCTGGCTCTGTTTGTGTCGTCAGGTTAGAGCCCCGTGAGCTCACCCACTGGTTAGGTTTACGCTGAAATGGCCTCTCAAGGTCATCAGCTTAGGTAGCGTGGCGGGTAGCCATCATACAACGCAAGATATTTGACAGATGCCTGAATCTCGCTTACGACATTTTCAAGATAAGCTTGCATATATACAAGTTCCGAACAACAACATTCGGACCGTCGGTATACCGAGCAAATATCACCCGCTCGGTGGAAGATCTTCCTTTCGTCGTTTAAGCCTACCCAAAGTAGAACAAAAAGTACATACCGCCAATATTTATATATGTATATTGCTTTAAATTAACTCACCGCAGCCTTGTACAACTGCTACTTTCATATCATACTACTTGCCAATCTGGCGATTTGTTACTTACAGCTGGACACTTTTTTAACTTGTCCTCCCCTTAATTACACTTTCAACTTTTGCAAAATCAGAAGGAGTACAATTTGTTTTGACTAAAACTAAAGAATAGTTTTTCATTAAAAATGTTCTGTAATCTGTAATGAATTAAAAAAAAAAGATCCAATATCCATTGTTTTAATGCATTTCATCATTAACTATAATAGGAACTTCGTTAGCGTTCGATTCAACTGGTTTTTTTATTGCTCTTTTAGGCAGAAGAGCACAAGGCCCACCTGATGGTGAGCGGTTATCGTCGCCCATGGACGTCAGCAATGTCAGGGGCAGAGCTTACCGTAAATCTTTTGTTAGTAAACAATATTCGCAAATATTGTTTGTAAGCGTAAAATGGGATTCCCCCGCTTCGATACCCGCACGATAATGTTAATTTATCGTCGTAACGCAGCATATTTATAGGGTGACTCTGCCTTAATCATCTGTGTGCTTAGTGAGACTTTTTTTAACGTTCTCGATAGCGTAAAAGTTAAGCCAATTTTGTATGCAGTTGGAACAGCGCCCCTAACGTCGCTTGAAGTCGTCGTGGCCTAAAGGATAAGACGTCCGGTGCATTCGTATCTAGCGATGTACCGGTGTTCGAATCCCGCAGGCTGGTACCAATTTTTCTAATGAAATACGTACTTAACAAATGCTCACGATTGACTTCCACGGTGAAGGAATAACATCGTGTAATTAAAATCAAACCCGCAAAAATTATAATTTGCGTAATTACTGGTGGTAGGACCTCTTCTGAGTCCGCACGGGTAGGTACCACCGCCCCGCCTATTTCTACCGTGAAGCAGTAATGCGTTTCTGTCTGAAACCGTACCCGGCAGCGGTTGTAACTATACCGAGATCTTAGAACTTATATCTCAAGGTGGGTGGCGCATTTAAGTTGTAGATGTCTATGGGCTCCAGTAACCACTTAACACCAGGTGGGCTGTGAGATCGTCACCCATCTAAGCAATAAAAATAAAAAATTACCCTAAACACAAGCTAAATAACTCAGTATCGTTGATAATCTTGGTATTAACGCTTCATTTTGTTTTTAGGTCCGCGGAGGTAGCACCGGAGTGCCACCGCCAGCGCCACCAGCCTTGGAACAAGAGAAGAGGTCGCCGTTGCAGCCGCAGCAGCAGGGGAGGGTACAGACTGGTGAGCATTTGAGTAATTTTTTTTCTAGAAAGAGTAGCCTTGCGTCTGTACGCTCCATTACTTTGATCAGCAGAACGCCCTATACGTCGGCGCTTCCCCCTAACCGGCCTCTCTAAATCCACGGGATTTTTGTCGACAGAACACACTCCAGCACCGGCCGTGATACCGAAAGCTCCGGCCGTAATAAAAGCTCCGAAGAACGCAAAGATAAATCAGAAGGTATTGTGAAATTTTGTTTCGATTCCGACCATGGTTTAATTGTTTTGATTTGACGTCATAACCTCTTATAAATCGATGAACACCGGCTGCAGGCACGAAAAAGTGTCACGTTCCGCCTGAGCTAGAGCGTGCGAGCGAGAGCGCAGAACAAACGATAGAGAGGCACCAAGCGTTGACTTGTGACACATTTATCTTTCTTCTCGCGTGATGTCAGAGCTAGCAGAACTATTGTCAGTAAACCGTATTTACAGACAACTATTTTTTTTTTCAAGTTGTTTTTCAGTACCTTACATACGTAAACGAAGTTAATCTTCTTTCGAGGCTACTTAAAAGAATGAGTTCCATTCCTAGTAGAAACTATGAGTACACGTCGTTTTAATAATCTGATAATTCGAGAAGCCGCAATGGAACGCGAAGACGATTGCCTGTCGTCGCGTTCGATAAAAACAAAATTACTAGTGCACGCCCAAAAACCAAAATTCGACCGTAATAACTAACACCACAAGACTACTTTGTATTCTTCTGACAACACTAAAACTTGTAAAATAGCTCTATTGGAAACGTTAAGAAAAAATTGAAATCGATTGACAACAAAAAAAATGATGATAGGTACTGAGGTGTGTTTTGTTCAATGAAATGAAAAATAAATAAATAATTTCTCGCCGGATCCTCTCAGTGGGTCGCGATTCCGATCCGGTAGTAGATTCTGCGAAGCACTGCTCTTGCTAGGGCCAGTGTTTAACAAATTCTCTCAGGTTGAGCCCGTGAGCTCACCTACCCGTCCTTTCGGATGCAACTGGAATCATAGATAATACACATAAATTAGTTATATAGATAAGCAACACAAGCATTCAATAAAAAAAATTACGGGCGTCAGCCAATAGATGGCTTCGCTTCGATTAGTTTCTCATTGCTCCTGTAGATGGCAATAACATATTAACTATCCTATATTTTACTTTTAATGAAGGATTTTTTAAATTTTCAGAAACCACACTTTGTTAAAGTTTAATCAATTTGTCTATAACAAAAAAAGACTTGTATGATTTATTTTTATTTTCTGTGTTTAGTTATACCATAATTAAATGCCTTAACTTTAACAACATATAAGTTTAAGGGCAGCCGCTACTAGATGTCGCTAGTTTCCATACAGAGAATAATATTTGTCTTAAAGTATCGCAGTTTCAGGGCCCTGGCTAAGATAGTCCCTTAACCTACCAGCGAATAAGTAGGAAAAAAAAGCCGAACGCGTCACAAGACGTTGACCTCGCGCCATCGTTGATACAATTTGTGTCACGTCCATTGCGTGTTGCGCAACAAGCATTTGGAAATGTAATTTTCCGTTTGCGAGTTTTCTCTAGTGCCACACAATAAGGAAAAGTAGTAATTATCGAAGCGATATAGTAATGTTTTTTTGCATTGCCAATTTGTGAATAGATACGGTAGTTGCGGGAGGTATCTGTCTGTGCGCTTAGGGTACCTACCTACCCTAAATATGAATCGAAATAAGTATTTAAGGCTTGGTATAATTGGATCGGTTTAATATCTTCGCTTCTGTTACAGTATGCTTGCGCTCTGCACTGTTTTATTATACAGAGATAAATTAAAAAAAAAACAGTATAAAAGGGAATTAATTGGTATAGTCGTGTCGGCGAAAAACGAGTTTTCAACTAACTATACATATGGCCACGAATGTTTTAGTTCGAATTTTAGTGATGTAGGGTAGTGTAGTTGTCGATAGAGTTGCGTCATCGACTAGATTTTTTTATTTTTTATTTTTTTTTATCGCTTAGGTGGGTGGCCGAGCTCACAGTCCACCTGGTGTTGAGTTGTTACTGGAGCCCATAGACATCTACAACGTAAATGAGGCACCCATCTTGAGATATGAGTTCTAAGGTCTCAGTTTTTGCAGTACATTTAAGCTTTCACGAAGAATTCGTTAACTTTACGTAGGTGTATCATTTATTTTAGCACTAAATGACGTCACACTTAATGAACCCCATGCCGAATATTAAGAAATAAAAAGTCACAAGTCTAGTGTGCTAATGAATTGCAGACTTTAAATCTTTCCAATCGGGTTAGAAATTCTTGGTGGTCCGACCAATAAATAACCAGTAATTATCATAGGTTACTATATGCTGCAACCTTGTACCGAATGATAATTGTGTTCCAGTTCATTGATAATGTCATTGCCTGTTGGAGTAGAAATCGCAAAGATATTTGTATCGACTGAATTGAGTTTGCTGAAGTCGATCGTCGATGACGGTTTGCGTGGTATGGACGTGTGATGCGTAGAGAGAAGATGCATGTGATTAGGAGATGTATGAAAATGGTAGTGCAAGGTAGAGGGGGAAGAAGTCGACCGAAGAAGACATGGATGGAGTGTGCGAATGACGATATGAGAGAGAGAGAGGAGAGAGTGTTGAGCTGACGCTGATAGAAGAGAATGGAATAGAAAAATTCGCTGTGCCGACCCCACCTAGTGGGATAGGGTGGAGATAAAGAAGATCGTCGATGACGAACACAGATAACCCCAAGTTAGGGGGGTTATCTGTGATGACGAATGTCCTTGACGTGTTACAGTTCACTATAGCACAATTAAATATCGAGGGTTGAAAGGCTATTTGGCTTAAGCGACGTTTCGCTTAATACGCGACATTTATCTTGGTAATTAAAAGTCCGTTTTATTTGGTATTAGCACCAACAATTCGATGTTTTATGTTTTAATTAAGTTTTCTCCATTCAAATAGCTGAAGAATTTATTTTTGTTATGATATTTCTTCCAAACGTTTAAGCTTTAAAGCTTAGGCTCTCTTGTGAAGTTGCAAAAATGTCGCTTAAAACAAATAGCCTATTCAACTCTCGATATGATATTAAAGACTTAACAATAAGTCGCAATGTGTTATTGAGTAAATTTCGTTCGCTCTAGGATTTAACCTTGCATCATTAGTGTTAATGAAGCGATAAGAATATATAATCAGTCGAAACGATATTCGATTCTGGCCTCGCTCGCGTCCGATGCATCTCTTTAACTGAGATCCCGACTTATGACTGGCCGGAGTTGTTTTAAGTTTGTGGCCGAAATCGAGATCTGTCTTGAGACATGAGGCCGTGTAATCTAAACTTAGAAAACCTGATTGCAATCAGAGTTTTATAAGATACTAGCGACCAGCCCTCTTTTTATATTCATGGTTCATTATTTTCACGATAATAACTTACAAATAAAAGATAGATATAATAATATGCTGTCAAGAGCTTTTTTTAGGTCTATTTAACATAAACATTTTCATTTTATATTAAATACGTTCAACGCCAACGTTTTTTTCGGGGCACTCTTACTTGACACTTATTATTATATTTTGGGTAATTCATATATCTATATGAATTACCCAAAATGTATATCTTTCTATATCTTTTTTTATCTATATCTTTATACTATATAATATTTAAATTTTTTACTGGTGGTAGGACCTATTGTGAGTCCGCGCATGTAGATACTACCGCCCTGCCTATTTCAGCCGTGAAGCAGTAATGCGTTTCGGTTTGAGGGGTGGGGCAGCCGTTGTAACTACATTTGAGACCTTAGAACTTATATCTCAAAGTGGGTGGCGCATTTACGTCGTAGATGTCTATGGGCTCCAATAATCACTTAACACCAGGTGGGCTGCGAGCTCGTCCCGCATAAAGAAAAAAAAACTAGCCGTACTTGCCATTTAAAATTAACATTATTATTTATTGTCATTATTATTAGGGAGTCCAACACTCATATAAATATTAGACTATCCATTAAGTACATGTATTTTCTACATGGATACCAAGTTTCAAGTCAATCGGATGCATGGTTCAGTAGTTATGACGGAACATACATAAAAACCACTGTAGATTTGTATATTAGTATAGCCAGCCTATGTGTTATTCTGATGTTTAATCTATATTATTGTAAAGTTTCATCAATCAATCAAAATCAATTTAGTAGTTTTTGCGTGAAAGAATAATAAACATGCATCCATACATTCTTATAAACTTTCACGTTTATAATATCAGTAGGATTCCTGTATTCCCGTACGCCATTAGTTTAGTGCTAAGTGCAAGTTAACGTATTATTTCATCGATATAAATCGATGTTTTATTTGGGCCGTCACTAAGCGCGTCCCGGCGGTGCCACGCCGCCAGTCGATCGCTGCGTGGCGCGAGTGGTGGTCGTGTGCCGTAATAACCTGTCTATCAACATAAATATTAATCGAATATTAAAATACCTTTGAAAATACAATTTACATTTGACAAGTGTTTGAATTAATGTGAGAAGTGTTTAGTTTTTTTTTTTGTTGTTGAAATTTTTCCATATATCGGTTCGGCAACAGTGTTTCTTGGTTGTTTTTAATTTTTCACGGAGCTTGCGAGGAATTTTAGAGGTGATTCGTTACGACTGTGTGATATAATAATACCAATTTTTTTTAAATATAGTACGTGCCGTGTATTGTAAGGTTTTTTTTTATTTAATTTTTTTTTCGCCTTCTGTGCCTAAGTAGTAGTTTTATCGATCAGACAGCCTAGATTGAAGATTATATTTGAAATTGAGAAACATTCTTCTGATTAGATTCGCCTCTTTTTTTTATTTTTTTAAATGGAATGATAAAGTTAATCGTATCGCGGTATGCGCGGAATGATGCAAGATGAACAATAAATACTGTGTTGAATTCACATTGGCCTGACATAGTTATTGTCCTTGACCGATGTTCACTATCTCTAGTGTATCGGTTGGCGCGTTTGTCGATTTGCCTTCGTTGATAAAAAAACAAAAAAAAAAAAAAACAATTTGTTTTTAGGTGAGTGGGTAAGCATTTTTTTTTCATACATAAAAGAAATAGGTGTGCTTTAGTGAATGCCTTATTTTTTTTGTGCTTAGTATATTTTGGTTACTGCGTAAATAAATAGTGTTGTGTGTGCTTAGTGCGCAGTTTTTTTAACGTTGTCGATAGCGTAAAAGTTAACTCAAATTTATA